GCCACACTGCAACATGTAGACGTATCCTTCCTGGTTGGAAGTCTTCAGGATCTGGGAGCAAACAGACGACCTCTTCGAGAAACTCCTGTTCATCCCGCGGATCTACCGCGTCCTGTTGCCCCAGCCGCTGCAACCTCTGCCAGGCTTCCTGTAGCAGCTGGAGTGCCTCCCTGCCCCCAGCGTTGCGGGCACTCGCTTGCCAGGCTTCCTGTAGCAGCTGGAGTGCCTCCCTGCCCCCAGCGTTGCGGGCACTCGCTTCCCAGGCTGGTGCTAGTCCTACACCGCTGGATTTCCACCCTGTCGGCTGGTGACTCACCCACTGGTCGTCTTCGCAAGGGTCATCTTCCAACAACAGCAACTCGGTCGGATCCCTTCCGTCGCCATCCTGAGTGTCTGCCGGGTAACCCACGTCAGGTTTCCTGTCATCGTCCCTTGCCGTTCCCTGCGTGCTCTCAGTCGACCTGGTTAGCATAGGCCTCTGGGCTTGGGTCTCCTATAAACCGAATAATAACCGGTGGGGCGGGAAACAGGATAAGAGGGTCTTGGAGCTTACACTTAGGTGTCCAAAAGGCAGAGCTGCCCTCTTCCATACCAAGCTCTGCACCCTGCTGTCCCCAGCCCCTGAAATGGCAGTCATGAGCCGCCCGTCCAACACCTGGACCGCGGCAGGCTTTTATTCCAGCCGTTCCCACCGACAGAACCGGCCCACCAGCAGCTACGAGACCAGAACAGTCGTGTCGGCAGCTGCACGTGGTGCCTATTCGAGGCACACACGGAGGCCAATGTCGGGCGCGGGGCCACCGTGCGCTTCCGTGGCTACACCCAAGCAGTCAGCCAGCACTTCATAAAGCGGAATGCAGGCAAGAGCCTGAAGGTCGGCGCCCGGGCTCTCAAGAAGACCCATCGGCATTTCGTCAGCACGGGCAGTGTCATGCAGGCGATGTACAGGATGCTCCACCTTGGGACTCCACACAAGATCACGCAGAAGCAGTTCGATGAGGCGGCGCTCCAGACTGGGTGCAAGGGCCTGACTGCCTTTGCGGCCCTGCCGTACGTCGACCTGTCGTGCCTCTTCACCGTCTCCACCGGCCATGCCCTGCTGTTCGGAG